ACAGCATGCTGAAGAATCTGAGTGGGCAGTGCAGAATGGGAAGAAAATTGGCAGCATGTGACCTCCAGAAGAAGAAAGAGGAGAACCCATGTACCCCCAATGCAGATAGAGGTAAGAAAGCATTTTCAGGCTTTCTGCACAGGTACTATGGCAGAGAATGATTTGGAAGAGTCATCTGAGGGACGGGATCAGAAGGAGACCCCATTGACCGGAAGGCATGGGATGCATTGTTCTAGGGCTCAAGAAGAGGAGATGGGTGGTGGTGGTCAGGAACTCCCTCCTAAGGGGGATGGAGTCATCCATCTGCTGTCCAGACCAGGAAACTCGAGAAGTGTGCTGCTTGCCTGGAGCTAGAATTCAGTATGTGACGGAGTGTCTGCCGAGACTGATCAAGCCCTCAGACCACTCCCCTTCCTACTTCTCCATGTGGGCACCAATGATACTGCCAAGAATGACCTTGAGCAGGTCACTGCAGACTACATGGCTCTGGGAAGAAGGATAAAGAAGTTTGAGGTGCATGTCATGTTCTCATCCATCTTCCCTGTTGAAGGAAAAGGCCAGGTAGGACCATTGAATTGTGTAGGTAAATGTGTGGTTACGCAGATGGTGTCGGAGAGGGGGCTTTGGTTTCTTGGGCCATGGGATGTTGTTCCAGGAAGAAGGACTACTGGGAAGAGATGGGATCCACTTAATGAAGAGAGCGAAGAGCATTTTTGCAGGCAGGCTTGCTAACCTAGCGAGGAGGGCTATAAACTAAGTTCACCGGGAGATGGAGGCCTAAGCCCTGAGGTAAGTGGGGAAGTGGGACACTGGGAGGAAACACAAGGAGGAGTGTGCAACAGGGAAGGCCTCCTGATTCATACTGAGAAAGTAGGGCAATCGGCTAGTTATCTTAGGTACCTGTACACGAATGCAAGAAGCCTGGGAAACAACCAGGAAAAAATGAAAGTCCTGGCACAGTCAAGGAACTATGATGTGACTGGAATAACAGAGATTTGGTGGGGTACCTCACATGACTGAAGCACTGTCATGGATGGGTATAAACTGTTCAGGAAGGACAGGTGGGGGAGAAAAGGTGGAGGAGTTGCACTGTATGTAAGAGAGCGGTATGATTGCTCAGAGCACCAGTATGAAACTGGAGAAAAGGCTGTTGAGAATCTTTGGGTTAAGTTTAGAGGCAGGAGCAAGAAGGGTGATGTCATGGTGGGCGTCTGCTATAGACCACCAGACCAGGAGGATGAGGTAGATGAGGCTTTCTTTGGACAACTAACAGAAGTTTCCAGATCACAGGCCCTGGTTCTCATGGGGAACTTCAAATCACCCTGACATCTGCTGGAAGAGCAATACAGCAGTGTACAGACAATCCAGGAAGATTTTGGAGAGTGTTGGGGACAACTTCCTAGTGCAAGTGCTGGAGGAAGAAATAGGGGCCATGCTCCTCTTAACCTGATGGTCACAAACAGGGAAGAATTGGTAGGGGAAGTAGAAGTGGGTAGGCAGGGTCCTGGGCAGCAGTGACCATGAGATGGTCGAGTTCAGGATCCTGACAAAAGTAAGAAAGGAAAGCAGCAGAATATGGACCCTGGTCATCAGAAAAAGCAGACTTTGACTTCCTTCATGAACTGATGGGCAGGATCCCCTGAGAGGCTAATATGAGGGGGAAAGGAGTCCAGAAGAGCTGGCTGTATTTTAAAGAAACCTTATTGAGGATGCAGGAACAAACCATCCCAGTGTGCAGAAAGAATAGCAAATATGGCAGGCGACCAGCTAGGCTTAACAGAGAAATCTTTGGGGAGCTTAAACACAAAAAGGAAGCTTACAAGAAGTGGAAACTTGGACAGATGACTAGGGAAGAGTATAAAAATATTGCTTGAGCATGCAGGGGTGTAATCAGGAAGGCCAAAGCACAATTGGAGTTGCAGCTAGCAAAGGATTTGAAGGGTAACAAGAAGGATTTCTACGGGTATGTTAGCAACAAGAAAGTGGTCAGGGAAAGTGTGGGACCCTTACAGAATGAGGAAGGCAACCTAGTGGCAGATGATGTGGAGAAAGCTGAAGTACTCAATGCTTCTTTAGCCTCTGTCTTCACAGAGAAGGTCAGCTCCCAGACTGCTGCACTGGGCAGCACAGTATGGGGAGGAGGTGAGCAGCCCTCAGTGGTGAAAGAACAGATTAAGGACTATTTAGAAAAGCTGGACATACACAAGTCCATGGGGCCGAATGCAATGCATCCAAGGGTGCTAAGGGATTTGGCTGATGTGTTTGCAGAGCCCATTGGCCATTATCTTTGAAAACTTGTGGCGATCGGGGGAGGTCCCAGATTGGAAAAGGGCAAATATAGCGTGAATCTTTAAAAAATGGAAGGAGAACCCAGGGAACTACAGACTGGTCAAACTCACCTCAGTCCCTTGAGAAATCACGGAGCAGGTCCTCAAGGAATCCATTTGGAAGCACTTAGAGGAGAGGAAAGGGATCAGGAACAGTCAACATGGATTCACCAAGGGCAAGTCATGCCTGACCAACCTGCTTGCCTTCTATGATGAGATAACTGGCTCTATGGATATGGGGAAAACAGTGGACATGGTATACCTAAACTTTAGCAAAGCTTGTGATACAGTCTCCCACAGTATTCTTGCCAGCAAGTTAAAGAAGTATGGATTGGATGAATGGACTATGAGGTGGATAGAAAGCTGGCTAGATCGTCGGGCTCAATGGGTAGTGATCAACGGTTCAATGTCTAGTTGGCAGCCGATATCAAGTGGAGTTCCCCAGGGGTCAGTCCTGGGCCCAGTTGTGTTCAACATCTTCATTAAGGATCTGGATGATAGGATGGATTGCATCTTCAGCAAGTTCACAGATGACACTAAGCTGTGGGGAGAGGTGGATATGCTGGAGGGTAGGGATAGGGTCCAGAGTGACCTAGACACGTTGGAGTGTTGGGCCAAAAGAAATCTGATGAGGTTCAAGAAGGACAAGTGCAGAGTGCTGCACTTAGGACAGAAGAATCCCATGCACCGCTACAGCCTGGGGATCAACGGGCTAAGCGACAGTTCTGCAGAAAAGAACCTGAGGATTACGGTGGATGAGAAGCTGGATATGAGTCAACAGTGTGCCCCTGTTGCCAAGAAGGCTAACGGCATAATGGGCTGCATTAGGAGGAGCTCTGCCAGCAGATCGAGCAAAGTTATTATTCTCCTCTATTCGGCACTGGTGAGCCCACATCTGGAGTACTGCATCCAGTTTTAGTCCCCCCACTACAGAAGGGATATGGACAAATTGGAGAGAGTGCAGCAGAGGGCAACACAAATGATTAGGGAGCTGGGGCACATGACTTATTAGCAGAGGCTGAGGGAACTGGGCTTATTTAGTCTGCAGAAGAGAAGAGTGAGGGGAGATTTGATAGCAGCCTTCAACTACCTGAAGGGAGGTTCCAAAGAGGAGGGAGCGAGGCTGTTCTCAGCGGTGGCAGATGACAGAACAAGGAGCAATGGTCTCACGTTGCAGTGAGGGAGGTCTAGGCTGAATATTAGGAAACACTATTTCAGTAGGAGGGTGCTGAAGCACTGGAATGGGTTCCCTAGGGAGGTGGTGGAATCTCCATCTGTAGAGGTTTTTAAGGCCCGGCTTGACAAAGCTCTGGCTGGGATGACTTCACTGGGGTTGGTCCTGCTTTGAGCAGGGGCTTGGACTAGATGACCTCCTGAGGTCCCTTCCAACCCTAATCTTCTATGATTCTATGGTTTCCATTCCAGTGCTCAAGCCACTAGACCACTCTTTTCCCCCACCACCCTGCAGCTCTAGATTAAGCTTTACATTAATCATTATTCCTACAACAGTCTGAATGGCTGCCAAGTTGTACCTGTGTGTGTATTTGAATCAAATATGGCTACACAGCAGGAACGCAGTCAGGACTCACCAAGAGATTTATAACATTTCAAGATGTGCCCTCACATCAGACACCTCAACAAGGGCATGATCCAGAGCCAAAGTCAATTGGAAAGGCCCTAACTACACATGATGTGCTTTATTGCTGACAGAAATTTCCTCTGTATCAACCAGGACAGGTCGAGAAAAGTGGTAGAGATGAAAGAGTGTAGGCCTGTGAACACCAGAGTTCATTCTAGGCTACTGAATCAAGGATTTATTTGTGGGGACGATTTTTGGGATGTGGAATGGGATTAAACCCATAAATATATCACAGTCTCCCCAAAAGCTGTCTGATGGCAGTAACCTCCAGTCACTACATGTCCATGGAGCTATCCAGTCCTGAATGCCTGCCAGGCTCACAGAATATGAGGGGGGACGAGAGAGGGGGGCGGTTAAAGAGACTGCCAAATTATTACATTTGGATGAGAGAGCAGATTGGATGGGCTACAAACTCCATCTTTTCATATAGTTTCTGTGCTTGTTGTGACATGTCAGTTTAGTGTTCATTAGTTATTAGTTCATTTCCACGCTGACTACACAGCACATCATACAAAAGTGTTCCCTTAATTTGGCCATTGCATTGTAGAACTGCGAGCATTTCTTTTTACCTGAGTAACACAGTGCTACTGCTGTTTCCATTCTTGCTTGTCTCATTGGCATTGCCACCAGTAAAATCTGTACGACAAGCAACAGCAAGTCTCGGAGCTTGGGTCCACAGACTGGGGCTCACACTATAGTGCTAAAAACAGTTGCAGATGTTCAAGCTCAGGCAGCAGCTCAGACCCCAGAGAGGGCTTCAGAGCCTGAGCCCAATCATCTACACAGCTATGTTCAGTGCCATAGCATGAGCTCAAGTCTGTAGCCCCTGGCTCTGTGCCTCATTGCCATGAGCTACTGCTTGTTGTGTAAACATACCCTAAATTCCCAGGACAGGCTGGCTTCCAGCACACTAGTAGCCAAGTCACAGTTTATGGATTCCTATATTCTCAGGAGGTCATTTATTCTGAAGCAATCAGATTCTGAAGTTCCAGGATATACCTTGATAGAAGGCACATTCAAGAAAGTGTATTTACCTGAGTGGGGTTATTCCAATGCATAGGAGTTTGTTTTACTGGATTTGCGCTGAGCTTTATAGCTCTGGCGTCTTCTCCCTGCAGAGAAGGCCTCAGGAGCAAGTTTAGCTTTTGGAAAAGAATATGAAATGTTAGTGGGTCCCTTCAGCATTCTCATGAACGGTTTGAGCAGGACATTCTCCCAAAGCATTGGAGTAAGGGTTAGACAGTCAGGGTCCAACCCCATACTGAAAAAGCACATACTGACTTCTGATGAGGTGAACATCATGATGTACAGACTTGAGGTAAATACTGAATGAGGCCAAGCAGAAGTCGGGATTTCCTTTATGGGAAAATCATGATGTTCACCAACATGTTCACCATGTTCACCAACATGAGCTATGGTCTATGCTGGGGTATATATGTTCTGAACATAGCCATGAGTATGCGTAATCTCTCCATGGTGGCTCTGAATTGCTGGAGCATCACTGTATTTCCATTTTACACTGATGTTCCAAAAAGAGGATCAGCTCCCAGCTGCGGAGCTGGGATCCAAACTTTGAAGATGATGAGGAAGAACCGTTACCACCTCAAAAGGTCTCCATCAAGGAAATCTGGGACAAGATCCCATTTTGTCATGGGGCTGCTTTGAGCCAAAGGGCTGTGTTCTGTTCAAGATTAAATCTTGTGCAACTAAAGAATTTCAGCCCTCTACTAAACATTCTCTCTTCTAAGGACTGACTTTACTGACACAAGTATTTAAACATGGAGCTGGAATCTGGCCCTTTATACAGCACAACTGTTCCCTGAACACAGAAGAGCAACAAAAGCCTGCTGTAAGCCACAGCCTGCCAATGCCTGATCTGCCTCCTGCAGTCTAGAGCCCCATCTTCCTAAAAATAGAGATCTCTGCAGCTGCATCCAAAGCCTTATGCAACAATGACAGCTGCTCTATATGAACTTGTGTCAAGGTTCTTTCCCCACTCTGAACAGATGTGGGGAACTGCGTGTTAAAGAACAGGGAAAGAGCCCACTTGGAGACGTCTTCCCCCCAAAATATCCCCCCAAGCCCTACACTCCCTTTCCTGGGGAAGGCTTGATAAAAATCCTCACCAATTTGCAGAGGTGAACACTGACCCAAACTCTTGAATTTTAAGAACAATGAAAAAGCAATCAGGTTCTTAAAAGAAGAATTTTAATTAAAGAAAAAGTAAAAAGAATCACATCTGTAAAATCAGGATGGTAAATACCTTACAGGTTAATCAGATTCAAAACATAGAGAATCCCTCTAGTCAAAACCTTAAGTTACAAAAAGACACAAAAACAGGAATATCCATTCCATTCAGCACAGCTATTTTACCAGCCATTTAACAAAAGGAAATCTCATGCATTTCTAGCTAGATTACTTACTAACTTGACAGAAGTTCTGAAGAGCATTCCTGACCTGGTCCCGGCAAAAGCATCACACACACAGACAGACCCTTTATCTTCCCCCACCCCCGCCCCAGCTTTGAAAGTATCTTGTCTCCTCGTTGGTCATTTTGGTCAGGTGCCAGCGAGGTTATCTTAGCTTCTTAACCCTTTACAGGTGAAAGGGTTTTGCCTCTGGCCAGGAGGGATTTTATAGTTCTGTGTACAGAAAGGTGGTTACCCTTCCCTTTATATTTATGACAACTTGTATGGCTATGAAGGGTGGGGTGGGAGGTATGGAGTCCTTTCCTAATCCCCCACTATACACACTTTTGCAAGGAACAGCTAGAGTCCCTGCTTCAACCCTGAGCACAAAGGAAGAGTTTCCATGATGCCAAGAGCACTAATTAGATGTTCAAGTGGAGCAGTGGGGATGTGCTAATGGCCCAGCCCTCTCTGCGTAGGCTCGTGGACAAGCAGCAGAGCTGGGAGCACATGTCACTCTTGCCAGGTGCAGCTGTTGTTCCAATGCACCTAGAGGTTCTGCCTCAACATAGCCTCCACATGCAGCATGCCTCCAGCTGGGGTGCTGATTGCCTCCTGCACTAGCTCTAGCATTGGCAGGAAGAGCTACAGGATAGCTCTGTGGGACATCCTGGGCCAGGTCAATGGTCCCTCCAGCCCAGTAGCCTGTCTCTGACAGTGGCCAGTGCCAGGTGCTTCAGAGGGAATGAACAGAACAGGACAATTATCATCTGATCCATCCCCTGTCATTCAGTCCCAGCTTCTGGCAGTCTGAGGTTTAGGGACACCCAGGGCATGGGGTTGCTTCCCTGACTATCTTGGATAATAGCCATTGATGACCTATCCTCCATGAACTTATCTAATTCTATTTTGAACCCATTTATATTTTTGGCTGTCACAGGTTTGACTGTGTATTGTGTGAGGAAGTATTTTCTTTTGTTTGTTTTAGCCTGCTGCCTGTTAATGTCATTAGGTGACCCCTAGTTCTTGTGTTATGTGACCGGGTAAATAACACATCTCTCTTCACTTTCTCTACACCAGTCAAGACTTCATAGACCTCTATCATAACCCCCCTTAGTCGTCTCTTTTCTAAGCTGAACAGTGCCAGTCTTTTTAATCTCTCCTCATATGGAGAGATCTATACACCATGCTATTAAACATTGGCCTAGCAGTGTTTTGGGCAAAGAGTAAATTCACCCAAAAATGCTATTCATGAATTCAGCTCAAATTGGGCAAATAGTTTCAGCCCAAAACCAATTTTGAAAAGGTTAAATCAACATTCTATTCCAGAATTGTCAAGCTGAATCAACATTCAAACTGTGTCATTCGACCTGAAGGAAGTTTTCTGTTGTTTTTATTTTGTCAAGAAAACCCTGAAAAAAATTCAGCTTCAGTTTGAAAGCAAGCTTTCCTGCCCCACCCTGTTCAGCCACTGAACCAAAAAAAAAAAAATCCATTCCTTGCTCAATTCCAGGGTAACGGAAGACCTGCCCAGGGGAAGCTTGGAAAAAGATTGTGCTGGTGGGCACAGGAAGAATGCAAGTGTCACCACTGCTTGAGATTGCAGACTGCTCCTCTCATAAATATAAAGGGAAGGGTCACCACCTTTCTGTATACAGTGCTATAAAATCCCTCCTGGCCAGAGACAAAGTCCTTTCACCTGTAAAGGGTTCAGAAGCTAAGATAAGCTCGCTGGCACCTGACCCAAAATGACCAATGAGGAGACAAGTTACTTTCAACACTGGAGGGGGGGCAACAAAGGCTCTGTCTGTGTGTTGCTTTTGCCAGAACCAGAGCAGGAATGCAGGTCAGAACTCCTGTAAAGAGTTAGTAAGCAATCTAGTTAGATATGCATTAGATTCTGTTTTGTTTAAATGGCTGATAAAATAAGCTGTGCTGAATGGAATGTACATTCCTGTTTTTGTGTCTTTTTGTAACTTAAGGTTTTGCCTAGAGGAATTCTCTATGTTTTGAATCTAATTACCCTGTAAGGTATTTACCGTCCTGATTTTACAGAGGTGATTCTTTTACTTTTTCTTTAATTAATATTCTTCTTTTAAGAACCTGATTGCTTTTTCATTGTTTTTAAGATTCAAGGGTTTGGGTCTGTGTTCACCTATGCAAATTGGAGAGGATTTTTATCAAGCCTTCGCCAGGAAAGGGGGTGTAGTGCTTGGGGAGATATTTTGGAGGGGAGACGTTTCCAAGTGGGCACTTCCCCTGTTCTTTGTGTAACACTTTGGTGGCGGCAGCTTTTAACCTAAGCTGGTAAGAATAAGCTTCGGGGGTCTTTCATGCAGGTCCCCACATCTGTACCCTAGAGTTCAGAGTGGGGAAGGAACCTTGACAGCTCCCCTCTCCACGCTCTCAGAATTACATGTCCTCCCATCCCTGTGAAAACTAGTGATAGTCTGGTCCTTCGCCTGGTTGCATCGCTATCATTCCACATTGGCCACTCCCTCAAGTTATGCTTCCCTGTCTCACTCTCACCTTGGATCAGTAAGTCAGGGTTTTTTTACCCCATTCCAATCAGAGCATTCACCCAAGCCTCACTACCTCAAGAGTATATCGAGAATTCAAAGCACCTACGCTAAGGTTAGGGTGGCTATATGGTAGTTGAGAGGGTAAGAGAAACCATGATTTGAGGACTTCAATAGCTCAGACATAGGTGAGAGGTTTATTGCAGGAGAGGGTGGGTGAGATTCTGTGGCCTGCATTGTGCAGGAGGTTAGAATAAATGATCATAATGGTCCCTTCTGACCTTAATATCTATGAATCTATGAAAATCTTGTCTGTTAGGCTGCCAATGATATGCATCAAAGCTCTGAGTGACAAAGAGTCAATCACCCAGATTACTTACCTTCATTGCGACTGTCACCCCTTCTATCTGGGGCCATGATTTCCATGAACATCATCTAAAAATAAAGAAATCTTTCAAAGGCATATATACCACGCTGTCAGAGTAAGCCACAGTCAAAGGCAGCCTTTTGGATTTGCAATGATTTTATCTTGTTTAAAGTTACTCTGTTTGGGAAAAACACCACTGAACCAGCCTAGGGAAATATAAGTACCAGAAAGGGGACAGCCAGTCCAAGAGGAAACTGGCTGGCTAGCCCTGACTGGCATGCAGGGAAATCACCTTTAAAATAGGACCCTGGAAATAAAGGCTCCCCCCCTCCCCAAATCAAGAGGAGCTTTTCAAAGGTATCCCCTTGTTAATTAGAGCCTCTGAAACCAATGAGATTAGGGACTTTGGCTTGGAGCCTTTGGGGTTTTCTAGAAGCCTTTACAGTTTGATACCAAAGTCACTCTGTCCCTGCCTGCCAGTAGCATCACATGGCCACGAGCCTGATTTTGACCCCCTGAAGTCAATGGGAATTTTGTTGGAAGATGACTGGTCCCCAGGCCATTTATGGTAACAAACATATGACCATAGAAATTCTCCGTTCCCGCAAGCAGCTTCTCTGATGCTCTGCGACACTTCCAATCAAACCGACCCACAAGCAAGCAGGAAATCTCCCCTCTCGTGTTGCTGCAGAGACAAGTGCTTTGTGGTTCTAACTGAATTCACTGGTGCCAGGACTGGCCCTTCAGTCAATCCATGGCAAGGCTGCCTCAGCCTTGTTTGTCTAAGCTAGCTTTTGTACTGTGACAGGGAAGGGAAGGGCGGATGTGCCCCCTCATCCCACTCCCAACACCTATTCACAACATGCCGGGCTGGGAACTCCTGATCTAAACCATAACCTCCAAAGGCAGATTTACAGGGCACCTTTTGCAGAAAGAAACTTATTTCCTTTTTCTCTGGCATCACTTCCCTTTGGCTTTTATGCTCCATAAATACTATAGCAACTGTTTCCTGACAGAAATAACGGCAGCAATCAGCAATTTTAAATGACTGTTAAAGAGTATTCACCAAAATGACTCTACTCCAAAAAGTGAGTATTTCCACTGAAACCCCATTGTAGGAGTCATGTTAGTCAGGAAACAGAATCAATGCTCCAAATATACCCACATAGCTTGAATTTTAAACACTCAAACTGCACTGCTTCCATGCTACAGATCATGAATTCCTAGAATGTATTCTCTGAACGGTTTGGAATAGGGACTAAACACAAGAAAGTCACAAGCTACTCTGACAAATCAAAGATGCTGAAGTTTGAATCTTATTTGCTACAAGTTATTCATTGAGCTCTAGCATTTAACCAATGGCACAAGTTGTCCCCATACTCTGGCACTATAAGCTTTTGCCTGAAATGAAAACTTCATTTCTGAACATAATTATTGGGCACAACCTTAAACACCATGGCAATTAACAAGAAACAGAGTGGTGCAAAATGTTCAAACACCAAATGTAACAAAATCAGGTACAAAATCAGAAAAGCAAGTTGCAGAATGAGTTATACCCGGAAAGGGACATAAAAGATAATAAGGGCTTGTCTACACTTAAAGTGCTGCACCAGCACAGCTAGGAAATCTCCCGTCAACCTAACTCTGTCTACACTGGGGATTAGATCGTTTTAACTGCATCACTACGGGGTGTGGATTTTTCACATCCTTGAGCCACGTAATTGTACCAACTTAATATCCTCGTCTAGACCAGCCCTAAGAAAAGGTTCTATAAATACACAGGAACAAGAGAAAGACAAAGGAGAATGTAGGTCTGCTACTAAGTGGGCAAGGACAGCAAATAATAGAGGACATCAAGAGGCCTTAGGTGTTACATGCCTATTTTGCTTCAGTCTTCACTAAAAAGGCTTAATTGTGACCAGATGCTTAACAATTAATATTAACAAGATGGAAGGAACACAAGCCAGAATAGGGAAAGAACAGGTTACAGAATATTTAGGTAAATTAGATTTTTTTCCAGTCAGCAGAGCCTGACACAATCCACTGTAAGGTACTTCTGGAACTAGCTAATGCAATCAGAACCATTAGTGATTATCTTTGTGAATTCACAAAGGATGGGTGAGATCCCAGAGAACTGGAGAGGAGCAAACATAGTACCGATCTTTAAAAGGGGGAATAAAGATGATCCAGTCAGCCTGACTTTGATACCTGGAAGGTTATTTGAACAAAGATTAATTTAACAATCAATTTGTGAGCACCTAGGGGCTGATAGAGTACTAAGGAATAGCCATCATGAATTTGTCAAGAACAAATCATGCCAACCTAATTTCCTTTGGCCTAGTAGATGGCCAGGAAGCAGTAGACATGATATATCTTGATTTTAATAAACCTTTTGACAAAGTCCCACATGACATTCTCATAAACAAGCAGGGATAGTGTGGCCTAGATGAAATTACTGCCAGGTGGGTGGCACAACTGGTTGAAGAACAGAACTTAAAGAGTAGTTATCTATGGTTCACTGTCAAACTGGGAGGATGCCTCAAGTGGAGTCTCACAGAGGTCCATCCTAGGTCTAGTACTGTTCAATATTTTTATTAAAGACTAGGATAATGTAGTGGAGAGTATCTTATAAAATTTGTGGGGGACACAAACCTGTAAGGGGTTGGGAGCACATTGGAGGACAGGATTAGAATTCAAAATGACCTAGACAAATTGGAGAATTGATCTGAAATCAACAGGATGAAATTCAATAAAGACTAGTGCAAAGTACTACAGTTGGGGGGGGGGGAATCAAATGTACAACTACAGAATGGGGAATGACTGGGTAGGTGGTTGTACTACTGAAAATGATCTGGGGGTTATAGTGGGTCACAAATTGCATATGAGTCAGTATGATGCAGTCGCCGAAAAAGCTAATTTTCTAGGGTGTATTAACAGGAGTGCTGTAAGACACAGGAGGTAACGGTGCTGCTCTATTCAGCACTGGTGAGGCCTCAGCTGGAGTGTTGTGTCCAGTTTTGGGCACCACAATTTAGAAAAGATGTGGAGAAAATGGAGAGAGTCCAAAAAACAACAAAAGTGATAAGAGGTTTGGAAAACCTGGCCTATGAGTAGGCTTGGCAGAGTTTGAAATTAAAAAAACTATGGATAATCTGAATGTTTATTTTTAAGCATTTTTTCTATTTTTATTTTTTAAAATTTTCACAGTTCCGGGAAATTATGGGGGAATCAGACAATACCTGGTTAAAGACAGTAGACAGATATAAGAAGTTAAAGTTTTGCAATAGTTTAAACACAAATCGCCAATATCTCATGTCAAAATATACAACTAAGAAATTCGGAAGCAGCATTTTTCTTACTTTGCCTATCTGTACATTTTGATTATTATTGATGGAAATATTTTTTTGTCGGTTTGTGTGTAGCCAATGAAATTGACATTTACCAACAAAAATCGAATCCTTCCAAGTCTACCTATGAAGAAAGGTTAAAAAAACTGGTCATGTTTAGTACTGAGAAAGAGAGACGGGGGTGGGGAGTGGAGGACCTGAGAATAGCCTTCAAATATGCTAAGGGCTGTTATAAAGAAGATGGTGACCAATTGCTTTCTGTCTTCACTGAAGGTAGGACAAGATATAATGAGTTTAATCTGCAGCAAGGAAGATTTCTATTAGATTTTAGGAAAATTTTAGGGATGGACTAGATGACCTCTCAAGGTCCCTTCCACCCATACATTTCGATGATTCTATGACGCCATCCAGAACTCAGCTGCTTCCGTGCTTTGTTACAATCTGGAAATGCAGGAATATGTTTGTCCATCAGTGGGAAAACTGACACCCAGGTGAACCTGGTTTTGCATCAAAGTCTTTCAAAATGTGCATATTTGCATGGTTTTGAAACAGAGCCAGGTGGAGCTCAGCTATTTTGATCAACCTTTACCCAAATCCAGGAATCGAGTGAAGCGGATCAAAACCAAAGAAGAATGTGGAACAGTTCCCAAAGTGAAAGTGCTTTAGTTATAATATGAAGTGCTTGGACTAGTGATGACATGATCACCAAAACAGAAGTGTAGGTGAATAAATTATATTTGTTTCTGATTATTAGAGCTGCATATCTGCATCTTTATGATCATGCAAACAAATACTATGCTGGACAATGTAAAATTAGTGTCAAAGTCTGCAACTCAAGTTCTACCAAGGTATCCATCAGGGAAGATCAAAGATCCCAGCTGATCTGGGGTGATGCCTGAGACAAAATAGCCAAGTTCCAGACCAGGAGAGGGGAACAGAACACTGTTGGGAGAGGCAGTTCTTGTTCTTTGTTGGCGGTGTGCTGAAGGGCTGTTTCCCCCCCTAAAGCGATCACCACATTTGTCTCAGTCATTCACTGTTTCAGTGGAGCAATCTATGAAGTCAGGGTGTCTTCTGATATGCATATGCAACTCCTATTCAGGTTAATGGAAGCCAAGCCTATGTGCACCTGAGGCAGAATTTTCCTTAAGACAAAGCTGCATGGCAAAAGCAAATTTTCTGCTTGCTTACCTCCTCACTGCTTGAGGATTCTGAGCTGGACCCATCCTGGCTGCAGTAAACTGTCAAGTTCTGTATCTGCTCTTCAGAGACCCACACTGTACTTCTGCAGAAGGCCGTTTGCTGTAATAGATCAAAATAGAGTTCACCCATTCAGGTATGGAGGCTATGGCATAAGCCTACTGGCACTGCCCGGAGAACAAGTTTCAATCACAAGTCATCAGCCTTTTGATAGCCAGCTACCAAAAGCAGGGACCTGAGAGAGTACACTTTTCACAACCATGGATTAGCCTTTGGTTCTGGTCTTCCAGCAAAACTTATTTGTGGCAGTTCAGTGTAGTCACCAGTCTCTGGAGTCTTTCCATTTTTGAACTGGGTGTGTATGGCTTTCGTGCTCCTGAAATACATCACCTCCACACCCTGGAGACTGTTGCCTTCTGCCCAACCACAAATAGGGGCATAATGGATAGTGCTAAGGTGAGGTACCTCACACTTGCTTCCCCAATGTTCCTCAGCCCCCTACAGAAGGAACCCCTCCAGGGTGGGGAGAACATCGGTCCCTTCTGATCCACCCAATAGTTTTGTCTTCTGAAGGCTGTAGTGTTTTGGTCTAATTCTGGTTGCTGGGCTGGGAGGTGTTTAGTGGCCTGTCATACAGGCGGTCAGACTCGATGCCCATCTCCATTTCAGAGGCCCTTTTCATCCCTTTGGCTCTCTGAGGTTGCAGACGGGGAGCTATACAGTGCTGAGCTGGTAGTAGCCCCATTTTTTTAAATTACTTCTTTAATCACCAGACTGGAGGCGGTAATGATTAAGCGGCAGTTTCATCCAAACTGAAGTACAACCAACAGCTATTTTAGGTGATGGAGTACTCCAGGGTTGCCCTTAGCTCCATCCTGGTGATATTTTGATACTGTATTTTCATACTTTTGCATGTTTATTAGGATTGCCTGTAAGTGACACAAAGCGGAGAAGACAGTTTGAAATTCCTATTCCCTCATTTGGGGAACTTTCCTGTACTTCACCTGACCGAGCTGAGTAAGGACACAATTGCAGACATAGTAGTATGTGCAATACACACAGGCATCAAATTCAGCCACTGGATAGGGACTCCCCTAAATGATAAAATCCACTGACTAGTTGCCAATGGACTTGGGTGTGGCCCAGACTTCAGTTGGCCTGTTAACTAGTGTTGCCTGATAGAGGATTCAGGGAGTCCTTCAGACTGCTCTACTCTATGCCAGGAAACAGGCCAGCATATAGCACAGCTCAGGAGTGGGAGACTGTGTGCAGAGGTGGCTTTAAGCCACATTTCCTTCCGCTCCCATCCTGGGGCTAGCTGGCTGAGTGACTATCAGATAAGCATTAGTTTTTAATGAATCCTAAATATCCTCAAACAGCTTGGTTTTCATATTATGCTCATCCTGGTAGCAGACCAGCTACATGGGGGACTACCCTGGGAAGCAAAAAGGACTTCAGCATCATGGTGGATAGTCAGCTGAACTTGAGCTCCCAGTGTGACAGCATGGCGAAAAGGGTTGATGTGATCCTTGGGATGTATAAACAGGGGAATCTCGAGTAGGAGTAGAGAGGTTATATTCTCTCTATATTTGGCACTGGTATGACTGCTACTGGAATCCTGTGTCCAGTTCTGTTGTCTCCAATTTCTCAATACCCTTCTGGAATTGTTGAGGGTTCAGAAAAGAGCCACCAGAGTGATTAAAGGATTGGAAAACTCAAGGAGCTCAATCAGAAGGTTAAGGGTGACTTGTTGAGCATTGAAGTACCTACACAGGGCATGGACATTTGATAATAGAAGGCTCCTCAATCTAGCTGACAAAAGATACAACAACATCCAATGCCTGGAAGTTGAAACTACATCAATTCAGACAAAAAAAAAAAGTGTCTCTTAAGCGTGAGGAGAATTAACCATTGGAACAATTTACCAAGGGTCGTGCTGGGTTCTCCATCACTGGTCATTGTTAAATCAAGACTGGCTGCTTTTCTAAAAGACCTGCTGTAGTTCAAACAGAAATTCACTCAGGAAAGTTCTCTGGCCTGGGTTCTACCCACGAGGGGTCATTCTCGATGATCACAATGGTCCCTTCTGGCCTTGGAATTTATGAATATGCTGGAGAGGAAGATGTAGGAGCAATTTTTCAGTCGGGTATTTTTTGCTGTGAAAAAAACATCTTAACTACACCTGTGTTGTTAAGTGAGGCAATATAAAATAATGAAGATGGGCTTGGTCTGGTCCTTTCTAACATGGCATAGAATACACTTCTTTCTCCCACCCTGTGCATGTTGAGCAGGGAGGAGTCTACAGCAGCTTATGTATAGTGGCCAGTCCTCAAATGTCATTTACTTAATGCTTCAAGCCAGGTATTTGCTTAGCAAAGGGCTTGAATGATCAGCACAAAAGCTGACAGAATCCCAGGCCATGTTCAATTACACAGAGGGTGTTTTCCATGCTAGGAGACCCGGCACGCTTACCACATAGTGTCCCACTCTGAAGTTACACGAGGACGGGTCCTTCTCTGAATCTTTAGTGCAGGTGGTTTCTCGAACAATGAAGTCCAGCATTATACTGTAGTCATTGTTATCCAACAGGTCAACCTGTATACGAAGGAAGGGCCAATAGCATGTGTGATTGCTGCTTGAGTTGCTTTTCTCTGTGTACACTACACGGTACTACTGCCTCTTTGCCAAACTGTGACAGAAATCAGGGCCTTGGGAGTCAGTATCCCATCTGGAGCAGAATGCCAGGGACAGGGTAGGGTATTTTCTTGTGGACATTTTGTAAATAAACCAGTTACACCACGTCTTATTTCCTTCAACAGAGTTGGTAAAAGCTGCACACAACTCCTCCTGCAGAAGCCTCAGGTAAGGTGCAATGGCCCCAAGCAGCACCTGCCATGAGTGACTCTCTAGGGTCTCTCGCCAGTGCAAATTGCTTAATTAAACAGTTCCCTTCCTGCCCCAGTCCTGGGGTTTTACACCTGGTGCTCCCCTGTAGCTCACAGATTTCCTCTGGGAGTATATGGGCTCTGAAAGAGTCCGAGCATCAGCTCTCCTGTGTGGCTGCTTTGCCATCCAAAAGGAACCTCAGAGCTCTAAGGGCTAACAGTGAGACTGCTGCTTTAACTCACATGCTCTCCCTAATCACACACACACACACACACACACACATACACGTCATTAGCACCTTTCAATCCAACAGCAAGGCTACTGTTGAATCACAGCTCCGCCTTGTGTGCTGTAAACAGTACCAACAATGAGCTGTCAAGGCTAGAGAATCAGAGATCAGTTACAGTTAACCTGCATCCGACGAAGTGGGTATTCATCCACGAAAGCTTATGCTCCAATATGTCTCTTAGTCTATAAGGTGCCACTGGACTCTTTGCCGCTTTTACTGTATCTACTGTTAACTACCTTATTTATAAGGTATCTGTTACACCAAAAAAACCCAAGGATGATTGCTTTAGAAAAAAAACTCCCTATTGAGCTAAAAGGAAATCTTTCCCGGGTTTTCTCTTTCAATCATTACCCCTGCAATTGCAACTTACCATTCACCCTATGGTTTATTCATGCCTGGCTAGGGTATAGGTCTGTCATCTCATTATTTTAGCTTATAAATGTCACAGAAGCTGTATAACAATCCATTTCCAAAGTGAGACCCTTAAAAAGAGTGTCTGTACAGTGCCTAGTACCATGGGACCAAATCTGGTTGTTGCCTTTAGGCACTACTCACAATATAAGTGTTCAATAATACCGAACAATAATACTATTACCAGAACCGGTGCTGAGTAGTACCATCCAGCAGGAAACATGAAAACTTTAAAGACTGGCGGGTACATTTGCAGTTATATGTATTAAGGACTTCTCTTCCTCTCATTCTTATTGACTTTTCAGACCCAGTGAATCTCCCTTTCACTTTCAGCACCTTATTTTCCAACCTTGCTACCTGCAATATTTCCAAACTAGATTCATTCCAGCAGGACCATGGGACACTCATCATGCAGGAGTAGGTACATTCCAAGTTTAAAGTTTAGAAACAGTGGGGCTTTGGGTTTGTCTGGGAATGCAAGCCTCTTAATTTTATATCAAAATGCAGTAGTTACAGCATATGTCACTGGGGCTAGAGGTGTGACAGTCACATTTGGTTTTTTGCTTTTCAAAAAGTCCCTTGTGGAATAACAATTGAGCATAAGAAACTTGAGCCTGTTAAAGCAATTTTCTAAGGAAGCTGTAGGCACTGAAGGCAGCGAGGACCAGCAACACATGACCAGTAGAATTGCTGCCATGATACTACATACAGATTGAATATGTTTAGACTGCATGAATGGTGAACGTAAGTGATAAGGACAAGTGCATCTACTGAATATTATAAACACTGGCCAAGAAATGTTCAACTGAGCCACATTACAACGCACCCAAAAATGGAAAGCACTTTTCTAGAGCTGATTGAAAATGCCAATTATTTTTCCATGGAAGATTATGAAAAAATTGTTTTTCCTTGAAGTGTCCCTCAAAAAACCCCCAAAACCCATGGTTTTTAAGGCAAATGAAAAGCTGAAAACTGACAATATTTTGGTTTTCCAAAAAACATGATTTTAGTTTTTGAAAACCAAGAATTTTGATTGAATGACAAGAAAAAAATCATCTTTTTTTTTTTTTGAAGAAAATTAGCACATTCCAAACCAAAAGAAAATTGGTTGACATTTCCTGGTTTTTCCCCACCACAAACATGTTTCAGTGACATTTTTTTGACTAGCTCCACACTCACCCCTCTAACGTAGCTCTTGACGACGCCAAACAGGGCTGGCCATTGTGATCTAGAATTCACTCTTCCAATGGAGGCATGCAGAGCTTCTTCCGTGATGGACAGTTCATAGTCGTACACTGGCAACGCTGACACAAACATATCACAGGCCCATTAAAACAAGCATTGGTCATTCATCCAGTAAGAATGGATGCTCTTCCTATTTAGAGGAACTTACCAGAACAAGACCAAACACTCATCACAAGGACAAAAATGAATAAGGTCTTCATGGTTTCTCTTCTGGAAAACCTAACTTTCCCCCTCGAAGCAGCAAAGTCTTCCCTTCAGGTTTCCAGCATATATTTCTCTGCCTTTATATAATGCAACCTTGATACTCCGCCTGACCTTCCTGTGTCAGAGCTTAGCTACAAACATTGCACTTTAAACAGAAAGGATTGATCTAACAGCAAATATTTGTTAGGCTTTCTACTGCTTGTGGGAATTCTCCATCACAGGGATACTGCAATACTTCTCCACAGGTCTGTGACCAAATCAGAGAAGTCAGGGAGCATCAGAAATACAGCTCCTAACAAGCTCCACGTCCAGTTATAACAGTTTGCTTCTAGCCTTTGCTCTTCAGTTTAAAGCCACTGGATCAAACCTAATCCAGCCCCTTTGCACCACTCCAGAGACAAAGGGTCCATATTCTGGTCCCATTTGGGCAGCAGAGAATTCCCCTGGCATGGGGATTTTTTTGTCCATGTAAAGCTGGTCTGGCCAATTCTTAAGCCACCCCTGCACCTGGCCCAGGTGTAAGGGATGTGCTGCTGGTGGCAGGGGCATGACCAGGGCACTGCTGCACTCTGGCTATCATCAGCTGCAGACAGTCCTGCCAAGGACCACTGCCAGCTGGTGCAGACTAGAGAAGCCCCTATGCTGCTCTAACTTTTACCAAGTCTAGAACCAAGCTAAGCAAAGAAAATATGGCCCAAACCAGCTCCCTGATACCCTCTGATGCTGCAGTAAGCAGATCTCAGTTGCAGCAGAGTAATTATGGATATTTAGTCTACTTTTAGAGTTAGAGATCTTTGGTCAAGCTCTAAGAGTTTACAGGGTGGAATCGGAGACAACAGGAGTTGGACACATGACAGCTCAGTTTACAAATGATTTAAAGCCTTCGTGCTTCTATTTTGCCAGAAGGCAGCTAATCAAGAGGTTCATGGGATGTGATCTCAAACATGCCAAAAGCGAAGTGATTAAGCGCCAGTCAGTCCTTCAGTTCAGATGATCAGATGTCCAAGGCAGCTCTGGTGCCTGTACCACAGCAAAGCCACCCAACAAGTCTGGGTAAAGTTTTCTAAAGTGCCTAAGTAATGTAGGTGCTTAAGTCTCACTAACTTTCAGTGAGAGCTAGAGGGTAAAAGTTTCAAGGGCGCTCAAGTGATTTACAAGCCTATCTGCAGTAACGGGTCTGTCATGAATGTTATTCTGTGCATTAAGCTCGTGCCCGATACACAATAAGTTTGCAGATCTGACGGCTAAGATTTCTGACATGGTCTTGAAAACGGCAGGGTTATTCTTACAATTGTCGGCGGCTGAGTCTTCGTTTAACCTTCCTGAACATAGAGGACACAAGGGAACTTGATAGACAGCTGCATGTCAAATACCGACTGGTCAGAAGCCCAGATTTAATAAGTACTGCAAAAATGAGGGGGGAGAAACATTACATTAGATTGCTGGGGGCTGGGACAAACAAGGCTTGGTGGATTCTATCAGCCCTCAGTACCACTGGTCTTGTGTTGCCTGGATAATCCTTCTAGCTGCCTCACATACACCTTAAGCAGGTGAGGTGATGAGACAGAACCTTACGTAACAGAGCCCTCAGAAGCAGCCTCTGGGAACTTGAAAGAAAGGGCCAGAAACACTCTAGGGGGACTCCATCTGCCCTATGCGACACTGTAGACCCACCACCAACACCTCACGGTCAGCATGATCAAAGGCATTTAACCAATCAGCAAAGACTTCCTTAACCGCATTGCTCAGAGTACCTTCTAGCAGAGCAAATGCTCATGACAATTGTCAGAACCCGCAAAATGGGTAGCAGGAATGACAAATATGGACAAGAGGCCAGGACTTCATTAAATATGGTCTCGGAAATAGGTGGGGATAAGGATTAGGTGCATAAAAGGGAATCAGTGTTCATGCTTAATCTCATTTTAAAGGGAACCACAGCCCCTCAGATTCGTGAATATAAGGGATACCATCTCTGCTGTTATTCTCATATTGTTTGTCTACTTTTGTAATTTTGCTTCCATTGATTGTGGTATTAATAAAACTCAGTCTCTGCATGTCACCAGTAATCTTCTTCACTAATCTCTATGTAGCCACCAAAGAACAAACCTGTTATTAGCAACAAGTGCATTTTGCAACCCAAATTAATAATAAAGCTACACTTGGGAGATCTGGGTATGAGTCCCTGCTCCACCGCAGACCATATGACCTTGGGTGAGTCACTTTGCATCTCTGTGCCTTAGTTCCCCATCTGTACAGTGGGGATAATAGAGCTGCCCAGCCTCACTGGGGGGTCATGAAGATACCCATACTAAGGATTGTGAAGCACTTTGAAATCTACTGATGAAAAGTGCTATGGAAGAGCTAGGTATTATTGTTACAGAATGCCATACAGGAGTGGCACACAGCAATGCTGTTAAGAGTTTGAACTCCCCCCAGCTCTTGCTACCCAGTGCAGATCAGGGATGTAAAAAGGTTAGTACTCCCCTCATGTAACAGAGGTCAGAAGCACTAACTCCAGTACCCGGGACACTGCAGGCAGGCAGTTTTGAACTTCCCCCTGTGACGTTATGAGTGTAATATAATATCTCATTGAAAGGTGACACAGGGCCAGAAAGAGTTAATTAACTCAGACTGACCTGACCTAGGGCCGAACTTTAAAGACTGGTTGGGAAGATATGTAAATGAAAAGAGCTTGAAATGCAAGCCTTCATGGTTAGAGATAGAAGGGTAGCTGTTTGCTCGGGTCTTGTGATGTAAGCAAACAATTCTTGTCTATTATTATGGCTTTGATTCAAAGATCAAAAAAGGAGTATTAGCATTTAGGAAGATATTTGAGTAAAATAGTATTAGGGTTTGTCTGTATGTCTTTTTGAAGGTTGTGGTAACCTGTATCTGAACTGTTCAATGGATAAATTACCCTGTGCTAATTGCCATGACGTTTGGGAGATAGAAAGTTAAGTGGATTGTTTTCTCAGGCCAAGAGGCTACTGGAAAATGTATAAAAATCCTGGGACACCATCCTCAGATCTGCTCGGGGATTCAAGAGAGGGAAATCTTAAGCCACAAGAATTGAAATCCCCAGTCATTCCCCAGACTGGAGTCACCCTGAATATGGACATTGGACTATAACCTAAGTTCTAAAAGGACTTTTGGCAACTACAAACTCATCCGTGCTATGTATTTAAACCTCAAGAATTGAATTCAAGTCTGTATGTATATTGACCTTTTAACCAACGCCCTAGCTCTTTTCTTTTTTAATAAATTTTAGTTTAGTTAAGAAGAATGGACTAATAGCGTGTATTTGGGGTAAGATCTAAGTTATCATTGGACCTGGGTGTGTGGCTGATCCTTTGGGGTTGGAAGAACCTTTTCTGTTATATGATGAGATAAGATTTTCAGTCATCAGCATCGTTTCTGACATGTGTGTCTGGAGGGAGGCCTGAGGCTGGGCACTTTAAGACTGTGTTAATTGGACTTCTGAGTAACCAGGGAGGTGCTATAGAAGCTGTTTTGGGCTGGCTGGGTAAATCTAAGTGTTGGAATATCCACCAGCCGTTGGGGTTTGTCTGCCCCATTCTGTTTGCAGTTCACCCTAATTGAGTGACCTCAGCTGGCTCCCACGGACAGCATCATCACACCCCCTCCCAACTGGATGTCACACTGTAATCCAGATTTTTACCCTGAACTACCGCAAACCGAGGCATGTCTAAAACAAGGCCATGCTGCGTTCTGTCCAACTGGAGACTGGCTTTGCTGTGCCACAGAGATACAGTACATTGCCTAGGTTCTAGAGGGAACTCCTCAGAAGCCTGATTTGGACACCTGCTGTTTAATTTTCTCCAAAATCAGTGAATGCGCCATCTACAGGGTAGCTCCCAAAAGCCATAAGAGAATCAGCGAAATGCAACACACAGGAAAATTAGAGTTCTGACCATGCGCTCTGGAGTACCAAGCTCAGGATAAGGAGTTTGCATGCCCTGGGGATCATTTAACAATGACTCACTGCGAGACCATGGCAAGTTACGTCCCCCATCTCAGAGTCACATCATCTCAGTTTCTCCAGCTGAGAAATAGCAACATTTACCCATCTACCTCAGACAGGTTGAACACGTACTGTTCGTCCAGGGGGTTGAACAGGTAGAATGCCATAGAAATGCCAAGCACCATCATAAAATAAATAGTAATTGCAACAAAAGAATTGATAGAGTGTTTTGAAGATTCCAGTCTTATCCTAGCTACAGTGAGACAGCCCCTGCACGGCGATAGGAGAGGTGCCGATTGGTGCTCAGAAATAATTGCTTGCTGAAATAAAAACTTCCTCTGCCTGGTTCTGGCTTGCCTAGTAAACGTGGACACTATCCATTTCATCTACCTGAAGTTCAGCTCATTAAGTCTGTAATGAGCTCAGTAAATATTTCCCCTGTGTCTCGGTTGATACATTATACACTCCAGTAGTTTTTGAAGTTTAGCAAAACTGGTTTTGCTCAAGATATTAGTAACTGGTAAATTTAAGGATGAGGCAAGTTTGCGTTCAGTTTAGATATCCAACCACGGATTGACTCTTGGGTCCAGAGGTATTATTGTAAGCAGGGGGATGGGTGAAATTACCCCTCTCCCCACCCTGATATTTCCTCAGCTTTTGGCTTGCTTAAGAAGGAAGGGGTGGGGTGTGCAGTTGAGGTGGCTGCTTTGAGCCTTAGGCTCTCCTCCCTCTGGCTAGCTGGCTAACAGCGGTTCACTTCCTGGCCAGAGCAGGAAGCTCACTGCAGCATCCTGCCAGCAAGGGCCGTTCCACCCCACTCCTGGTTAGGCAGAAGGTCAGCAGAGAGCTTCTCTGCAGCTAGCCCAGCTCTTTTCCTGCCCTTCCAGAGGAGTCAAGAGCTAGTGAGGCCGAGGTAGCCTGCTGTCTGGCCCTTCAGGAGGGAGCTGAGCCAGTCAAGAAGTCAGCCACCACCAGCAGCTTCTCTTCCCTTTAGGAGACAGGTAGCTGTAGGGTGGGTGGGAAGAAAGGACTCCTAGAAGGAAAGGAACTTTTGGGGGGCACCAGTAGAACTCGTGGGGTGTTGATCTTTAGT